AGTTTCCCTAATACATTCCTGTCTAAAATCTAAACCTCCATTGTGAGCCCAAGAATTTCTGAACTATATACATAAATACAATGTTTGTGTACAAAATTACCACCACATTCTCTAATTGGTTTCTAAAATATTTACTTGGTGTTAAAAAGATGCATTAGTTATTTTTGATCATTGCTCCAACCCCAGCAATTGGTAAGATTTTGGAAGATTTTGGATGAACAGTCTTTAGAGAGATTATGGTGATCTTGATTAAACCAGATGGTATAGTCAGGAGCCTCATGCCATTTTCCCACTTTGCAAAACTAAATTTATACTAATTCCTGAGTTTTACAGCTTTGGGTTTCTAGTCTCCATCTGGGCTTCTGTGAATTTTCCACCACCTCTCAGCCACAAACCATTTAAGGCCTCCACTAGGCCCTCGTTGCCTGGCTCTAGAGCGGAGGTGTGTTGGGCCAGAGTGAGATCGCTTGCACTTTCCTTGCGTATTTAGAGATTTTGATCTTTTTTCCTTCCCCAGTGTTTTCCCTCGTGAACTGAAAGAGGTGTTTGCATCATGGAAGCAGCAGTGCTTGAACCGCGGGAAGCACGACATCAGTGAACGGCTCATCAGTGCCTCGTTGTTCCTGCGTTTCCTGTGCCCAGCCATCATGTCTCCCAGTCTGTTCAACCTTATGCAGGAGTATCCTGATGACCGCACGTCTCGGACTCTGACTCTGATTGCCAAGGTCATTCAGAACCTGGCTAACTTTGCCAAGTACGTGTTGCTACCATAACCCCTTTTTACAAAACATTGTTTAAAAAAATATATGAGATCTAAAATTTGGGTGGTGATAGGGATCCTCGTCACTCATGTTGTAAGACTTTTGTTGTGGTGTTATTATAAACTAGAGGCTCGGTGCACAAATTCATGCACGGGGCGAGGTCCCCTCAACCCAGCCTGCACCCTCTCCAATCCAGGACCCCTCGGGGGATGTCCGACTGCTGGTTTCGGGATTGGGCCTAAACCAGCAGTCAGATATCCCTTTCACAATCCTGGACCACTGGCCTGCCTGGTCGCCCCTAACTGCCCCCCTCCCCCTGCTAGCCTGGTCACCCCTAACTGCCCCCTCCCTGCCAGCCTGGTCGCTCCTAACTGCCCCCGCTCCCCCCACCACCACCAGCCTGGTCACCCCACATGGTCCCCTTGCCAGCCTGGATGCCCCATGCAGCCTGCTGTTCATTCGTGTGGTTGTCCCTCACTAATCCCCCTGCCGGCCTGGTTGTAGGCAGCCATCTTGTGAGGGCATGAGGGTTAATTTGCATATTGCCTCTTTATTATATAGGATAACAAAAAAATTGGAAACAACTTAAATATTCATTTTATAGAGGAGTGGTTAAGTAATCTAGGGTACATGCATTCAGAACATTTGCAGCCACTATAAACAGTGTTTTCAAAGAATAGCCAATAATATGGAAAATGATGAAGATATAATTATATTAAATGAAAAGGGCTATTAAAAACTTTAGGGGGAAAAAAGGATATTAAATGGTGCATATGCTATTATTCCAGCAGTTTAAAAACACAAAAACTTTAGTATAAACAGTTGGGAAGAACAATCAGACAAATTCTCCAGTTACATTGTCTAAGACAGTTGGCCTGGCCCCTTTAAACAAGTCAATGTCATGAAAACTGGAAAAGATGGAAGGGGACTGTTTTAGATTTAAAATTACTAGATGCAATGCTTGAATCTTATTTAGACCTGAATTGGAAAAAAGTATATAAAAGTCCATTTGCGGACAATTGGTGAAATTTAATTTTAAAAATTTTATTGTGATAATGACATTGGTTTATGTAAGAGATATTCCTTATTCAAAGTATATACTTACATATATGTGTGTGTGTGTGTGTATAGAGAGAGAGAGCACGAGCCTGCGCAAACTTGGCAAAATGTTAACACTTGGTTAATGTAGATGAGGCATATTTTTTCAATTTTTGGTAGATTTAAAGCTTTTTTAAAGGACATTGGAAAGCAGTTGGAGGAAATACACATGAATGTAAACAGTAGATAAATTCAGGTGATAGTGCATCCACACTTTTTTTCTACTTTTCATTGTTTTTTTTTTAATTTTTAAGATGAGGCATATTTTTTCAATTTTTGGTAGATTTAAAGCTTTTTTAAAGGACATTGGAAAGCAGTTGGAGGAAATACACATGAATGTAAACAGTAGATAAATTCAGGTGATAGTGCATCCACACTTTTTTTTCTACTTTTCATTGTTTTTAAATTTTTCTCAGTTTGTGTAATTTTTATAATTTATAGAAAATAATTTTATGGAATCACTGAAAGAAACTTCACACTGACAGAATTGATCAGAACAGACTCACTCAATAGTGAAGCTTAAAGACAAGATTCTATTAGCAATGTACTGAAGGAAAAAACTAGAACTTCGATGAGACAGATTGTTTCCTGGCTTAAATAGTTACTTTTTAAGTGCACTACTTTAACTCTGAGTACCCTATAGGTAACCCAATGCAAAAACATACATATTTACCCATATTTGAGCTAATTTTAGTAAAAATTATTTCTGGCTTATTTGGGAACAAGTTTTATGGACTTAAACTAGGCCCCGAAGGTAGCTAGAATCTAGATAGGCAAAGAAGAGAGCAAGTTCTTCTCTAGTAGAAATATATAACATGAGCAAAGGCTTGGAGAAGAAAAAGAGTATATGTATTTGGGAAACTTGAAGAAGTGAATTATATTGAAGGTTTATACTGATGAACATTTGGTAGGTAAATGAAGGTTATGTTACAGAGAGCTTTAAATACAAGAAAAATGAGTTTTAGCTTTACACAATAGAAAATAGATATTCAGAAGTTTTGAGTATTAATATTAAGAAAGTATGTCTTAGCATTTATCACTTATAAATAACTAGAGGCCCAATGCATGAAAATTTGTGCAAGAGTAGGCCTTCCTTCCCCTGTCTGCCGGCACCAGCTTCCCTTCGGCACTGGGGACTGGGGCAGCTTCCCTCCTCCAGCCGCCTGCAGGCACCCAGGACCCAGGCTGGCTTCCCTTCGGCCCTGGCTTCATCAGGAAGGACGTCCAGAAGACATCCGGTCTAATTAGCATATTACCCTTTTATTATTATAGGTAAACAAAATTGGTCACTTGCCTCCCCAAAATAAAAATAAAAATTTATAGCTCTGTATACAGTCAACTCAAAATGATCACCTCTCTTTTCCTGAATATGTTCTTTCTCATTTTCTCTCCCTCCCCTTTAGATTTGGTAACAAAGAAGAATACATGGCATTCATGAATGATTTTTTAGAACATGAGTGGGGTGGAATGAAGCGCTTTCTTTTGGAGATCTCTAATCCAGACACCATCTCAAATACCCCAGGCTTTGATGGTTACATTGACCTGGGCCGGGAGCTTTCAGTTTTGCATTCCTTACTGTGGGAAGTAGTTTCCCAACTTGATAAGGTAAAGTAGGCTGGAATAGAAAAGGGAGAAGGGAGGTAGAGAACTTGAATGTACCTGAATTCTGCAGAGCATCCACAGGGTGATAGCACTCACCTTTCTGTTAAATGAAAGCAACCTTTTGTCCTATATATCTTAGAATAAATGGTTGTCATTTCTGAGTGAAATATACACCCTACAAACCAGGAAATTCTAGAAAGCCATGAAATTACTTATCTATTTTTCAAGTAATTATCTGCATTAATGGAGTATATATTTCTATAAATAAATAAGTACAGTATATATAACATATTTAAAAACTTGCCTAGAAACTAATATCTATTATTAGTGTATGTAGCCTTATTCATGTGCAGTAGGATGACATGAAGCCTCATACAGCAATTTTTAACAAAAGGGTGGACTTCAAAATATAAGGGTGGACTATCATGTTTAATCAGCTTTATCCTTGAGAATGTTTTTGTTGTTATTCTAGTCAGAGGGCCTAATATAACTGTTAGTACTACAGAGTTATGTGCGATCTGAAAATCCTGGTGGTTTTTTCTCCATAGATGTAAATTAAGAATCCAGAAACAATTATAATTCTTAATTATTTATTTTCTGACTATAAGCTAAGAATTTTATTATTAAATCTAAATAAGAATTTCATATTAATAACTAGATATATACCATACCAATCATTTTCTTCCTTCTGGGATTTTGCAAAGAGGAATAGGTTTTGTAATGGAGAATAGTCTTAACAGACATAGGTTAGATTTATCACAATAATTATTTATTGGTGCTTTTCTTTACTACAGGTACTTTATAAATATGTTGGTGTGGTATGTTAGAATAACTTCAAAAGACAAAGTTATTTTTCTGTGATGAGAATTTGTTTGTTTTCCTTCATTTTTCTATTATCCTTAAAAATGTTCCAATAATATTGGAGGGGTGTAAAACCTATTAATAAAGACCATTTTCCTGAGGAAATGTAAATGGTAGGGTATCCACTGCTGCTTTAAACATTGTGAAATAATAAACTGTTGCTTATTCTTCAGGACCCCTTCTATACTTGTAGAAATGCCAGCTGGACTTTAAATTGCAGCTGTGCTGAGGGTAAATCCCTTGACTATGAATCATGGTTCAAGAAGGCATCCTCCAGGTGACATTTGAGCAGGCAGTCTACCTATTTGAGCAGGATTGAAGAATCTCTTGGTTGTTGAAAAACCAAAGAAGACCCATAGGCAACCGTGTAAAACTGCCTAACAGTTGAGCAGCCCTATAAAACGCCGTGAGAATAAGAATTCCCCAAAGAAAAAAATGATTGAAATGGATAAAACAAGTTCTAAAAAAGTTATTCTTTGTTGAGTAACTGTATCAGTGAGATGCAGATACAGTTTTCTTGTGAAATAAGCCTCATTTATTCAGGGTCAAGGTCTTTTTAACAGGCTTTGCTGTGTAAATACACTTTCTCCTTTTTTTTAATCTCTGTTTGGTCCTGGGAACCAGGAGTACGTTTAGACATATTTTATAGAAAAAGTTTACCTGAGTTTTCTGGGTTTTTGTTTTTTTTTAAATTGTCATGCTTATGCCAACCTAGTTGGCAATAAGTCCAGGTTCCCAAGATTAAATGGCATAGTTGATAGCAGTGTCAACTGTGTGTCCTGGAGTGTTTTGGACCCCTGCATGCAACACTTTCTTGTATGTGGCATGCATTTCTTTCCTCACATAATCCCTTTTCTTTGGAAGTTTCATCACACTAGCCTTTTGGTTAGAAGGTATTTGGTCCTTCATCTCCCCCCTCCCCCAACTTGATTTACTAGCCTTCCAAAGATTTTGTTTGCTTTGCATGCCTATTTTAGTTGGAATGGCAATATTTTGGTTGTTTTGAGCATGTCTTTTAATTTTTATTTGCATAATCCTAATTTCTATTTCCTTTCTTTCCTCGATGCCTGCTGCACCTTGTTTCGCGTCCTCCATCCATCTCGACGCCATGGTTCCGCTGCTCCATAACAATGCATTATGAACCTGCCAATCTCACATGCAAACACCTACCCTCCCCTCCAACCTACACCCCTTCATCATTGGACCTCATGGTCCCCAAAACAATCTGTGGTGGATGTCGCAATGCTTATTATCCAATTAGGGTGAAAATTCCTTCCTACAGGCGACTGTGGCAAAACTGGGACCTCTCCCTCGGGTTCTTGCTGATATCACCAAGTCTCTGACTAACCCTACGCCAATACAACAGCAGCTGAGACGCTTCACTGAGCATAACTCCAGTCCCAATGTCAGTGGAAGCCTCTCCTCTGGGCTGCAGAAAATATTTGAAGACCCTACTGACAGGTATGAAAGAGAATTTGAAGTACTGTCCCAGAGATAAAATGTTTAGAGATTTGGTGAAAATCTATTTAATTTATGTGTTGAATTTACCAACTTTAAAGTCTTGAGCAATTGGAAATAATCATCTGATCTGAGATAAAGCCAATTGTTTGTCATAATAATACACAAGATCTAGGATATTTATTTTCTAGAATGATATTGTAAAGTTATATTTAACAAATGCATTAAAAAAACTATGTCCTGCTTAATGGAAGACTTAAGAGCTCTATGAAATTGACATTTTCATATATAGTAGCACTCAAAAATCAGGAGAACCTCAGTTAAAAACATTTTATAACTGGCTGTTTCAGCTACACAGTGGACACAGTATTGATGCTTAGACTTTGTTTTCTTTGTGTTGGCAAGATTTGTGCCTTTGGCATGGGCCCTTGGGTTGTGCACTTAGAGCGTCTCCTCTTGAACAAATTAAATATGAATTGGGATACCTTGGGAGGGCTTAAAGTCAAACTAGAAAATGGTTGGAATGCTAGTAAAAATGGAAGACAGTGATGGAGTGGTATACACAGTATTATTCCCCACCTTTGGAGAAAAACTAAAAATGTTGGATTTTATTTTGAGAATCGTAAGGATGAAATCTGAGCTTAGATGTAAACATCTGCATTGGGCCTGTGAGCCTTCAGAAGAGTTCATATGCCTGAATTGAGGAATCTTAACTATGTTGAATGTGTCTCAAGAGTAATTAAGGGTCCTTTCTGTTTCTACAGTGATTTGCATAAACTAAAGTCTCCAAGCCAGGACAACACAGATAGCTATTTCAGGGGGAAAACATTATTGCTGGTTCAGCAAGCCTCCTCCCAGAGCATGACTTATTCTGAGAAGGATGAAAAGGAAGGTAGCCTTCCTAATGGGCGGAGCATCTCCCTCATGGACCTCCAGGACACGCACGCTGCTCAAGTGGAGCATGCGTCCGTCATGCTCGATGTGCCTCTGCGCTTGACCGGAAGTCAGCTTTCCATAACCCAGGTCGCCAGCATCAAGCAGCTGCGGGAAACCCAAAGCACACCCCAGAGTGCACCCCAAGTCAGAAGGCCCCTGCACCCAGCCTTGAACCAGCCAGGCAGCCTCCAGCCCTTGTCATTCCAGAACCCTGTCTATCACCTCAGTAACCCAATCCCAGCAATGCCAAAGGCCTCCGTGGATTCCAGTTTGGAGAACCTAAGCACTGCCAGTTCCAGAAGCCAAAGTAACAGTGAAGACTTCAAACTCAGTGGACCCAGCAATAGCAGCATGGAAGACTTCAGCAAACGTAGCACTCAGAGTGAGGACTTCTCCAGGCGGCACACTATGCCAGACAGACACATACCTCTTGCTCTGCCCCGGCAAAATAGTACTGGGCAGGCGCAAATCCGAAAAATGGACCAAGCCGGATTGGGTGCCCGAGCTAAAGCCGCGCCGTCCCTGCCACACAGTGCTTCCTTACGGAGCACAGGGAGCATGTCGGTGGCCTCGGCAGCCCTGGTGGCCGAGCCTGTGCAGAATGGAAGCCGGTCCCGGCAGCAGTCCTCTTCCTCCAGAGAGAGCCCTGTTCCCAAAGTGAGAGCAATCCAGAGACAGCAGACACAGCAGGTAGGGCGAATGCTGGATGACCTGGCTTCTACCTGGTCCAACTGTTTCCTCGGTCTTTGTGTCGAAATCATTGGGAAACCCCATTGCTAACAAGGTCTCCACTTAAAAATATTTCTGCCACCTTTAAATGGTAAGAGGAAATAAAAGGTTTGGGAGGCTTCTAGTGAGGTGAGGCAACAGAATGTAGCTTAACTCATCACCCTGAGGACACTGTAACAACCACGCAGGGGCCTTGCCTTCCCTTCACTCGGCACTGAGAACAGATCCGTTATGTTGAATGAATAATTACACACTTAAACTGTGGAATCTATAGGCCAAATCAACCAGAAAGTATTTGGGGACCTGGATATTAATTCTCCCTAAATATTTTTTCTTATGCTTCCAAAATAAAGTTTTGTATTCTGAGCCAAGAGTTTAATATAACTACTCCCTACTCCATCCTCCAGCTCCCTCTGGAAATATCAAGTCTCTTGTGCCTTTTCCTGGAAATCACTAGGAAAATAAACAACTGAACACCGATAGTGGCAATGTAAAGGAGAGGGGGAGGAAATAGACACACAGGTGGTTGACAAGTATTCTAAACATTTACAACTTCCTTATAATTTCTCTTTACATCTGGCGTGGTGAATTTGTGGCCCACAGGTCCTATAAGGTCCGCAAAATCATTTGGTCTGGCCCTGCCAAGGCATTAGGGGTGAGTTAATTAAAAGTTTGACCAAGTATAGTAGGCTAATTTTTAAGTTGATAATTTTGTATGGCCTGTGAATGATATAAATATCCAAATAGCCCTTGGCAGTAAAAAGGTTCCCCATCCCTGCTTTACAAGCACAAGCCCAGCTAGTGTCCTACCCAGTTTTAATATAAGACTGATAAAATCTTTTCTTCTTGATAAAAAGGTTTTCCAAGAGGCACCAATATATATTTTGTTCTTTGAAACAAACTAAAAACCTTAGGAATATGTATAAGTGTATGTGTGTGTGTGTGTGTGTGTGTGTGTGAGAGAGAGAGAGAGAGAATTTCTTACTTTTATCTGAAAAAGATTTTTCTCCTGAAAAGTTTTGTATTTGTTGAATTTTTTGGAACCTAATCATACTTTATAAATACTAGGACGCTTTGTGATTTAAAAAAGGCCTTTGTCAGCCAAATAACTTGTCAGGGGAAACTAAAATAAAACCCCAATGTATCTCTTTAATATATTTGCATTTTTATAGGTAAGCCTTTACTAATTTGACTGCTTCTGTCTCTATTCTGTCGTGATCAGAGTCCTTGCTCCTACTTTGATAACTATTGTTTATTATTGTTTAAAAAATTAGAACATTTGCAGAATTTTTGGATACAGAGAAAGAGGAAGGGATGGAAAACATGTCCAACTCCACCTGATTTTGGTGGCTGACTTCCTGGGCAAAACCTCCTAGTTAGCCATTCTTTCCTAAGAAATAAAGGTTTTCTTCCATCTTAAATTTTTCATTTTTATTTTGTTGTATTTTTCCCAAATTTACCAATTCATTTGATTTAATAAGCATTTTCATTTAAAGAAAAGCAAAATTATATAATACTAGAGGCCCGTTGCACTAAGAGATTTGTGCAATAGGCCTGCCTTCCCCTGGCTGCCAGCACCAGTTTTCCTCTGGCACCCGGGACCCAGGCCTTCGCTCCGGCTGCAGTGGAGAAGCCAAGCCTCTTCAGTCTTCAGTCATCTTCAGTCGCCTTCAGTCTTCGCTCAGGCGGAGCCTTCAGTCTTCACTCCGTGCCTGTGTATGCAAATTAACCGCCATCTTTGTTGGGTTAATTTGCATACTCATCCTGATTGGCTGGTGGGCATAGCAGAGTGACACAAATTTCCATGTTTCTCTTTTATTAGTGTAGATAATACAATAATATACATTGTTTTCCTTTTCTTTAAATGAAAATGCTTATTAATTGCTCATATAGCTATATCTCATATATACACATTTAATTTGCTAGTTAGGAGGCTATCAGTTATTCACACCTTATTGTGAATTAGTTTCCACACATTGCTTTTATGCCAGCTTCCAGTTGAGATCAACTCCTTTCAGAGTATTAAAGTGTTTATTGAGTCAAGAGAAGAAAGGTAAGTAATTTTAGAGATGGAATATTTTGTGGAGGCAAACAGCTACTAGGGGGCTTACCCATGAGCACCCTGAGAATGAAATAAGGAGAAGAGAAAAATATCAGATTGGAAGAGAGGGACAGGACACAGAAGGACGTCTACTTACTTTTGAGGTTGACAATGGATGTTGGCCCAGCCCTGGACAGAAGAGAGGAATGCTCACCCATTTCTCCTTTAGTCATCAATTCCCAGGGCCCATGACTCAGACAGATTCTTCAATTGTCAGTAACAATGTTTGTGCTATAGGAAAATATAACACCTATCACATAAGCACTCAGTACATGTTTCTATGGGTGATTGATGGGCAGTGGTAAATGTATACAGTCTCCAAACAACCAATTTAAAATTTTGTCACAGCCATTAATGCATTGAAGAATGTCTATATTATATTGCCATAAAGTGAGGCATAGCCACAGTGAGATGTCCTAGCATAGCTTTAAATAGTCACCTTTGCTTATGCCTTTGCTGGTACTGCCACCTCATATCAGTTAAACCATAAATCACTATATTTTGATTGCTCAAGTTTCTGGTTTTTCTACGCTGGCTTTTTCTAGGCAGATGGTTCATTCTTTCGAATTTATGTTATTTTTTTAAATTCCTTTCTGTTTCTTGCTTGCTCTTCTCATCTTACTCCCATGAAGCCTCTGAAATTCTATATAATCAGCGCATTTTTCAGGCAAATTCCTTTACATATTATAATTGCAAATTGTGTTAGAGAATTCTTCTCTCCCCAAAACTAGAGGACTTCTTTGTGGGGATTGTTCTGTAGGCGTCTGCAATTATCAGTGGCTTTGTCCTGTGCAAATTCCATTTATATCTATGCACAAAGGAGTGGCCATTGTTGGCACTGTAACTAGCCTCGGTCTCCTCCATCTACTGAGTAGGAAGGAAATAAAATTCCAGTAAAACAATCTACAGAGGGAATTATTTTTCCAGGAAACTTTAATTTTTGTCCCTTTTCAGCCTCTGCGTGGATTTTTTTTTTCATTTTTCTCTTCATTTTGTTTTTCATGCATCATGTATTCTGTATGCATAATACACTTTATCTGCAATGTCTGAGTTGTTCAGATATAGCATGTTACCTAAACTTAGAAGTTCAAATTTGAAGAAGCTCTTAAAATTGGTATTTGGCCAGCCTATTGGAATGATACAGTTTTCACATTTGGATTTGTTGACCCTCCCCTAAACCAACCTCTTCAAGCACTCTCAGCATTTACTTAGTGATTTAGTCCACCCATCTTTGGTGCTGATAGCAGAAGTGTTGTTATTCATTGATGGGAACCTGACCATTTCAGACTGTGGAGAAGCTGAAACCAACAAGTCTCATTTATACATAGTAAATACTAGCAAGGTACCAGGGAGCTGCCCGTTCTCAATTGTCCTCAGCATAGCCAGGCTATGAGTAATTATAGGGTCAGCGAAACTGCTCCTCAGGCTCTTTTGCCCTAAAGTATTATGATTGTTCCCAGAGAAACCCTATACAGCTTTATCTCAAGAGGGAGTAGGAATTCCTACTCCTTTACTTTTTGTTGTTTTTTCATCCTTCATTTTCTTTAATGATCCCCTGTTGAAAGTCAGTGGCTGTAAAAGCTCTTCTCGAGGCTACAGCGAAGCAAAGTGGGATCTGAATCTCTTACCAACCTCTCTTTCGATATCTTTGTCTATAAACTGGAGGTAATAAGTTCTGCTATATATCCAGCTTATGAAGAAGATGGAACAATTATTGGGGAATAGCCTTTGCTGCACTACATATAGTAATAAAGTGTAGTTTATTAATAAAAGGAGGATTAGAGGAAAAACAGTATCTTTCCCTTAGTAATAAATTATAGTAATGAATTCTGTCTAGAGTATTAATAAATAATGTTTCAACAAGCAGCTTTGTACAATTATATAGTCACTACCATTCAAAAAAAAAATCACACAAAAAACTATATGATATGCTGCCATGCCTCAAATATTGACAGTCTAATTAGGAAATAAGACCAGCACACATAAGACCAATAGAAAAAAATATAAACAGTATATAGTTTTTTTAATATGAAGAATATATTACAACAAGAAAATAATTTTGAAACAAAAATCACCTCTATTTTCTTCCAGTCTAACACAATAACTAATTTTTATTTGTTCAATATTACTTTTCCATCTCTTTATAATTGTGTAAAAGTTTTATCATGAATATAAGGCATAGTTAATATTGGTCACTTATTTTTTCAACAGTTATTTACTACCTACCATATGCCACACAAAGTGCTAGGATATATTAGGAAGTGGTTGAAAATCAGATTCAACCAATAAAATAGGAATAGACCTGAATGCCCAGTTCCCATTGTACAATCTCTCATAGTTCATTGGACATTGTTAATTCTGGAGATAGGGTAGCTACCACCATCACCAATGGAATGAAACCACTTTTATTTTTTTGGCTTCTCATTTAACAGTTGAAGCTGAGATTACCGTAAAGAACTGCTGTTTTTAATACGTTTTTAGGAGCTAAAGTTTCTCCTTAGTGTGTTCTTAGGAGTATTGTTAGTTTACAGTACATTTAGAGGCACTCAACACCATAACAAATCACGGGGAAAGAAAGTTTATTCAAGCAACATCTTGTTAACTTGTATAAAGCAGAAAGCGCTGAAACCGGTTTGGCTCAGTGGATAGAGCGTCGGCCTTCGGACTGAGGGGTCCCGGGTTCGATTCCGGTCAAGGGCATGTACCTGGGTTGCGGGCACATCCCCAGTAGGGGGTGTGCAGGAGGCAGCTGATCGATGTTTCTCTCTCATCGATGTTTCTAACTCTCTATCTCTCTCCCTTCCTCTCTGTAAAAAATCAATAAAAAAAATATATTAAAGCAGAAAGCTATTGAATTAGCTGCCTTGATGTAATAAGTCCAAACAGTGAAGTTGTTATTAGTTTTAGTGCCTACTTTAGCTCAAACTACTACTGAATAGTAGAAAACAGGGATCATAGTTATGTCTTCCAACAATAGTTCTCTTTGTGAAATATAACTAGTGGATGAGCTGTCTTGGGAGATGGTAATAAGTATTTCTGATGCAGGTTCAGTCACCTGTGGACTCTGCCACAATGTCCCCAGTAGAGAGGACAGCAGCCTGGGTTCTGAACAATGGGCAGTATGAAGAGGATGTGGAAGAAACTGAGCAAAATCAAGATGAAGCCAAGCATGCTGAGAAGGTAGAACCAAGTCTGTCTTTATTGACGTATTGCCCCACAGTGATAGGCCACAAAAGGGTTGTCTAGCCAAGGACCTGCTCTGCCCCTCCCCAGTTTCAGCTCCACCTCTTATGTTAGCCATCATATACATATCTATGAATAATAACTAGTAGTGTCCTTATGTGGACATATGCAGGAAAGGTCCATCAAGCTGGGGTGGAGGGCACCAGCTCTATTTTCTTTTTATGTAGGTTACCTTAATTTGGAGACTACTCTGCTGTAAGTTTCTAATAATTTTAGGCACTTATAGTGTTTCTATAAACTGGTTGGTATTCTTCATTCAAGGCCAAAATTTCCCTTAGGTTAGACTTTCTTTCTCTGTCTTGGTAATGATTTTGTTTTTGTTTTTTCTTTTTGTCTTTTCTAGATAAAGAACTTCTGGTTTTATAGATGATTTTTAAAAAAGATATCTATTGACTCAGTTTTGTTTTATTATTTTTTTTAAGTTGACATGGAAAAAAATTATCAAACAAGAACTTGACACCATGTATGGCATTATCTTATTTGACTAAGAACCAGACACCTAGCTTCTGCTTACCTATCAGCATGATCCTAAACATGCTCATTGATGCAGTCTTCCTCTTCAAACTGTCCTAAAAATTGTCATCTTTGACCTTCTGGATTAAATCATCATTTAGGACCATGTTGTTAAAGAAGCTAATTGTCTGTCAATTAAATGAAACATTATGTGAAAATAGATTGCATTCTACAAATTATTGTACAGATTTATCACTAATTCCTAATGAATTTATGTAGACCATCTATAACAAAGCTTATGCTTCTCACCTTGCCTAGAAATTTGACATTCCAGTGTACTCAAACCCCACACCCAGCAACTTCAGTACAAGAAAGGGTCGTGTAACCAATTGAATTATATAAAGCTTTACTTACATAAAGCTTTTGCGAGAAAACAGACCTATGTGTTGAGAAGGGAGAACTAAATTGGACAGGTGAACCACATCGTGAAAAAGGGCCAAGAGGCAGTATCCATCAGCCCTAAAGAACTTGTAGGCCTTTGGCTTAATCCTTGTGACCTGAATATTTTATACTTTTCTAGTTGGGGAGAAAGAAGCAAAAGTCTACTCTGCCATAAATTTCTAGTTACTTATTTAGTAGTGCTTAACATTATAGAAATGTTGGGTGTTCTCTACAGGGCTGATTCTAGTAGAGTGAAGGAACGATGAGCCAAGCTCGGTCCGAGATTCCTACAGTACAGGCAATGACAGAACCTTTCTCTTGTCGACAACTGGCTTTTGGCTCATTTTAAGTGATTTGTCAGGCTTCTAAGTGCTTGATCATTTTATTTTCCTACTCCTATTTGATGCCATCACAGATTGGATGCGGCTTGCAGGAGCTGGTAGTTTAATGTGGAGAGAGACGCATTAATATATAGATTTAGAATGCCAAGTTAACAATATAAATGTAATTTTAGGAGGAGGGCAGAGCTCCATTCCCATTTGTGCCTGTTGATAATTTTCAAGAACATCAGCAATAGGTGGGATGGCAGTTCGGATGGTATCTAGCTACCTTGCCTCAGGTTTCTTTTTTCAAAAGCAAATCACTGATTCTACAACTTGTGTAACTCCTTTTTCTGTCCTCTAGTATGAGCAGGAAATCACTAAACTGAAGGAGCGCCTGCGAGTGTCCAGCCGGAGGCTAGAGGAGTATGAGCGCCGGCTGCTGGTGCAGGAGCAGCAGATGCAGAAGCTGTTGCTGGAGTACAAGGCCCGGCTGGAGGACAGCGAGGAGCGGTTGCGCCGGCAGCAGGAAGAGAAGGACAGCCAGATGAAGAGCATCATTAGCAGGTTACAGGGTCACCTGGCAGTGGTGGTGGGTAGCCAGGCACACAAAGAGGTGGAAAGAGGAGCCAGAGACTCCTCAAGGAACGGCAACAGTGCCACTTGCAGACTCTGCGTATGCTCATGGTACTTAGTACAAAGGTGATGACTGGTCCTGTCTCTTAAATTTTCCAAGTGGGCGACCTCTGTGCACTTCCTTTGAAGATAGAGGTAGTTTGTTTTCTTTCATCGTAACAATTAGGAAAAATAAAAACTTCATGATGCACTTAAGAGGCCTTAGAGGAGAAGTGGGTTTTAAAAACCTAAGTATTCAGTGTCCAAAACTAACTTAGTTTTTCACAAAAGTTTCCAAAAACAGGGAAGGAAGTTTCTCTTGGTTAGGGCCAGAGAACCAAGAGAAGAGAGTGCCAAGGATGTCAAGGGAGGCTAAGGGAGGGTTAATTTTACCCAACACTCACATAGCACTTACTATGGGCCTGGCTCATTTTCCTTTACAGATTGTTTAATCTGTTAATAATAATTTGTTTAATGCCAATGTCTGAGGAAGGCATTATTACTATGCTCGTTTTACAAATAAAGAAACGAGCAACAGATTAAGACACTTGCCCAAGGTCACCTAACAGTGCAACCAAGATTTGAAGCCAGGCTCAAGCTCCAGAGTCCATGCTCAATAACCACTGTGCTTCTATCTTGTCAAAAGCTGTGGAAGGTCAGGTAAACTGAAGACAGAAGAGTTCTGCTGTTTCAGCTGTACAGTCTTACTGAGGGCAGTTTGGTGGAATTTAAACATCAGTGGGGTGACATGTAAATGGTGGATGAGAAAGAAACTAGACCCACTAAGTATAGAGTCCTCTTTGAGGACCCACCTGTGCAGGGAACAGAAAGGACAGCTGTCACAGGGTAACTTGAGATTAAGAGGAAATTTTTGGGTTTTTGTTGACTGGTTTGATATTTTAAGATGAAGTGAGTTGTGCTGAGGGATCTGAGGGAAGAAGTGATCATGGAAATACTGTCCCAGAGGAAATAAAAATGTGAGTGACCTAGACACAGGGAGAGAAATTAACGTTGGGTGTCTTCCAAGGTAGGAAAGAAGAAAGAGCACACGGTTTCAGATCTCTGATTGGGATGAGTGGAAATATTGAACTAGGATGAGTTTGGATTTCTTGTCCTCTGCGCTCATTATCTAGCCCTCTTTTGAAGATGCTGAAATGTCCTTCCTGCTATTTTTTAGGCTAATGGCTGTGGAGGAGGAATTGAAGAAGGATCATGCTGAGATGCAAGCAGTTATTGATGCAAAGCAGAAAATAATCGATGCACAGGTAAGCAGGCGCAGAATCTGGTAGAAGGCACTTGTTTATAATAACTGTTATTTCCTGACTTCCCGTCCCTTGTGCATGCCAAGGCATGTCCTGGAAAATGGGTCACTGGAAAATTCTCAGCATTACCTTTTGAAGATTTCAATATGATCTCTCACTTCTCCTTTCTTTTACTAGTGACAAGTCTGTTAACCCAGCAAAGTATTAGCGTGCTTAGTACAGTTGCTTAACAGATCTCAACCTAGTGCATGATGGGGTTTACTTCTTCCCTTATGGAAAGTAGGGCGTTCTCTAAGGGAATAGCTGTGAAAAGTAATTGCATGTGTCTGGCTTGTGACCTCCACTGACCATTGCTTGGCTGTGATGTTCACGGTCTTGTCAGTCACGTCCACTGTGCCATCAACCTCTAGCCCCAACTGTAGGGGAGAGACAAGGTTGTCAAAGGTACCCTTCCTTATTCCTTTGTTTCAAGGCTTGGCATTGATGCTTGGAATTTGCTTGGTTGTTGGCTGTGCTTAGAGAGCCTCTTTCGATTGTTGAAATCAGTCTGGGCCTTTGCTCACTCTATACCTGTGACAAGAATGGTGTGATGACTGCCAAGAGTATCTCACAGCAACACATCAATGTTCAGAACAAAATCCAGCAGGCAGAAAATGTTTCTTAATTCTTTTTCATTTTATCAGTGCAACATATAGTCGTATGTCTTAGAACGAAACAAATCACAAAAGGCGGGTGCGGTTTTGAGACTGTCTGATCTACCCCACTGAATGTGTCACCTGCCTGAAGACAACCCAGCCAGGTGTGCATTTCTCACCCTTAAGTACATACCATATCCGTCAGCTGTAAAATAAAATTGGGAGCAAGGACTTCATGTTCTGCTCCCTTCTCTGCACGTCAGCCAGCAGTCAGTCTGTGTTGGAGCCCCCATTGTTCTGAAACATGCCCTTGCCACCTCCAGTCTAGGTGCTGGGGTGGGGGTTGTTTTTTTAAAGACACTGGGGGTGAAGCTGAAAGCACAGCCATGGGAAGAATGCTCCATGGGCCTTGTACTCCTTCAGAGACTCCTGACCTGGAAGTCTAGTGATGCTCTCGTCAGCATAGTTCCCAAAATATTTTGGACCCTTAAACTCTGTAGTTTCTGGATATTTAGACCTCCTAAGTAGCAGAAGAAACTTCTATTGTAATTATCTTACATGGTCCTTTAAAAACAAAAACTTTCAGGTGTCTCCAGGGTGAGTGAGGGAAGGGTAGTGGAGACAAGGCCATCTTGCTGTGTACTATAAAAACTCATCCCGCAGGCTTAAGAGAAACAGCCTGGAGAAAGAGGGCAATTTAGTCAGGAAAACTAGTGTTGACAAGTTTTCACTTTGGAATTTTCGATATGGCAGTATAAAGTAGGGAAAGTTCTAATAACCACACCAGGAGAGCTTTTGGTTCCAATAAGATACAACAGACCATTTTAATAATTTCAGCTGGCCTGAGATTGTGTTGGCCTGAAGCAGAGGGAGCATGGCTGTGTCATAGTGGTGGCTCTGCATGCAGGATTGCCCTTTTCTCGGTTGTTCATCAACACAGCTTCATCATCAGCTTCTCATTGTTAGCCCACCCCAGCCCCTGTTTTGACATGTAGGGCAAGATGACTGGGTATGCAGCAGGAGCCCTAAGATAGAAGGTGAAAGCAAGAGAGGGAATTGGATTTATCAGGGCTCAATGCTCTGGAAAACAAGGACTTTCTGTCTGTTAACCAGGAGTGTGGCACTGTTCAGGAATGGAAGAAATATTACCCTCAAAGTACCAGACGTGTGGTCTAGCTCAATTAGATAATATTTTGTGTCCTTCCCTCAAGACAGTGGTGTTTAAATGGTTTGATTCCATGGACTACTTTGGTGAAACCAGAGGCACCTTTTATAGATCAGTTTCCAGCTGCTCCTACTGAGCACTCAACAATAATAGGTTGCATGACACCAAAGCTAGCTAAATATAATCAATTACCGATTCCAACATAGGCCTTACTGTATAGTACATTTTCTACCAGATGCCCAGTGTGGATCCCCAAAGAATACTGGGAAAATCTACTAGAGCACATGTGGAAACCACTGCACCATGCACAGCACAAATCAAACACTAAAGTCAGTTTTTGAAAAATTATATTCTCCTTAAAAGGTAGGTTTCCCAGTCCCAGATGTTGTCTTACTGATACATTAAAATATTATTATAGGAAGAGACTGTGAAAAGCCTTTGGTACCCTTTGTAATGAATAGCTTGGTGCCACTAGTAGAAAAAACATTTCTGAAATGAATATAGTATCTTACCTTACACGGGAGTTGAGCCCAGCATTTCCCAAAATGCTATGCCGGATGCTCAGTGAATTGGTTTTCATCTCTCTCAGCAGCCCTGTGTCCCACAGGACATGCTTGTCCCTGAATTCAGCCTCTCCATCTCCTAGAGTCAGTTCAGCCACAAGGCCAGCCTGGGCCAGCCGCTTACTAACTGGAAGGGGGAGGATGAGCACTCCATCGGTGAGGGCAGGTCCACCGTCCTGGACCTTGTAGCATGGCCATGGGGAGCCTGGTGATGGTACTAAGGGACCATTTCCTCAAACATCAGTCCAGGGACTGTGCCACCTTTCACCCCCCTCCAGGATCACTCCATGTGACTCAGATGGAGAACAGAGAAGGGCTTCCTCTTCTGAGAAGCAAGCAGCTGCCTAGGTACTGTTGCAAGTGATACCTCCACTGTGTTAAATTACAGGTCCTAAATGGAGATGAGATTATTCAAACAGGCAAGTAAACCCTGTCGTTCTCTAACCGAGCAGTTCCCAGCCCTGGCCCAGTGCACTGGCCTCCTACACATTCCAGCTCCTGACTCCCCACCCTTGACATCCTTCCTGTCAGGCCTGGACCAGATTGTTCTGTCTTTCAATCCAGGCAGAATCGCAATGTCAGAGCATCTTTTGTCAACTAAACGTGAACTTCAAAAGTCCCTATTTGATTTTTTTTTCTTTTACTTTTTGTTTTATTTTGAGAAGTTGGCAGTGAAGGGAATTACAAAAGGGAGTTTTTCCACTTAAAAACCTTTATCGGTTTGGGGGAGAGGGATTGTTTGGCTTCTGTTGTTACTCTCATAGTCAATAAATAATTACAATCATTCTTAATCTCTTTGTAACCCTTTAAGAATCAGATAATGTTTTATAATGCCTAATTTTTTTATAAGCCTGGAAAATCCTAGAGATGTGCTAGTATAATGAATATTCCTTAGTATTGGGGTCTTATAGATTAGCCTAATGTTGAATTTTTTTTTCATTATTTCAAGAAATTATGTTTTTCTGTGTAGGGATCCATAGGCTAAAACATCAGATTTGGCTCCCAGGCCTTATTTTCTGATAAACCATGGGCCAATCCTTACCGACTGACTTGGAAAAGATCTATACTTATTATCCCAGTAAATTCCAATTTTTTTTAATTATTATCATTTTTTTAAAGCCTCATGGATCTTTCCTTCTTTGAGTTTTGCTTATCCTTCCAACAAGATACTCACCTTCCAATGTCAAAAGCATATTGATTAGTGGTTAGTTAATAATGCTGATTTTGGGTATTTTACCACCTGAGTTCTCCATCAGGGAAAGGAAGAATTTTTTTTAATGATAGTAAGCATGAGCTGGGTTTTGGTTTTTATACTTTTGAAACTATGACCACCACACTGCTGCCTTACAGGTCCCTGCCCCACCCCAGAGTAGGGAAGCATCATTTGATGCTGTGTCTGTGCTTTTACCTAAACCACCCTCCCATCACACACACACACTCCCTGGGCAGTGATCTTTACTCTGTATCCGCTGCAGTGAGTTCCCCACAGAGCCCCCGTGGGCCCTGTGTTGCTGGGCTTCAACAGCAAGGAGCAGCGCCAAAGCCTCAGTCCTCCTCTCCTCTCCAAGCCTGACCATGACTCACCTTACCATGCTTTTCCCCATAAATGCAGAAGTTTCTGGGGTAGGAAAGCTCCTTTTGGCTTTGGGGATTGTTCCTCATGTGCCATTTTCTTTTTAATTTCATGGGCATAGGCAAAGCCAGCTCTTCTTGGCATTAACTTCTGGAATGATTTACCTCGCTGCTGAAGCTAGTATTAGGCTTCTCGCCTAATCTTTCTAAGACTGATATTTTGATGGGGTGATTTTTTTTTTTTAATTTAGATGGCCCTACTTTTCTTGAGTTGGTTTTTTCCCCCCTTTTTTTCACCCCTCAGGTTTTCTTTCTTTCTTTTTTTTTTTAATGTGTGTGTATTCAACACCCTTTAGCTCCAAAATATTGGTTCTAAAGCGTGTGTTGTTTTTCAGAGACTCAAAACTAAAATGAAAGCACTCTCCATGTCGGGTAGCTTTCCTGGAGTAACTCTGAGCTGGAATGAGTCCAGGAGCTTGTGTTCTCTGTTTGTTTTCATGTGTTATGTTTACGGCACCCCCCTCGGCCACACCTCCCTACCTGTATCCAAGTAACTCCCTGGTCTGAGCTTTTGGCTGCTTTCCCCCCTCTTGCGTGTTGCATCCTCACTTTGTTGGTGACTATAAACTGCCACCATGTGTTGTTTTTATCTTGAGCACAATGTGAGTTCTCTGCAAATACGACTGATGTGCCCTCTTTGGGGGCTAAGGACCCACAGATCACTTGCACTTCTCTGTGAAATGAAACCTCTGGTGCTTCTTTCTTTGCCATCTAATGTCCATGTTTTAAATTTGACCAAAAGCACTTAATACAGTCAGGCAGCTTGACCCTGTGTTGCACAGTCTGAAGTAACACGTGGTGTCACCTTACCATGGTATCTTAGTGTCCTGAGGGATTATTAATAACACATCCTGCTATGCTGACAGGACAAAAAGAGAAAATGAGCACAAACCCGTTGGACTCGGTGTGCAGAAAGAGGCAGAGACGTTCCATTGATCCGGAAAGCATCATGCGTGCAGCAGTGTGATAGAAAGCGTTAGAACAGTCACTCTAAAGAGTATTACGGTGTGATTTCCTGTGTGGAGCCGGAATAAAGCCATGATTGGTGTGTTGTAGGAAAAACGGATCGTGTCCCTGGATTCGGCCAACACCAGACTGATGAGCGCACTGACCCAGGTGAAGGAGCGGTACAGCATGCAGGTCCGAAATGGCCTCTCTCCCACCAACCCCACCAAGCTTTCCATCACGGAGAATGGTGAATTCAAAAACAGCAGCTGCTGACGGCCTTGATGACTAGACAGACTGTGGGAGGAGACAGAAGGAAATGTCCCCGCTCTCCTGTCCCCGCCCTTCCCCCAACCCCACCAGGTTTACAGAATGTTGCTACTTCAGAACAGCAGTGAGGAGAGACACTCTCAATTGAAGAAGGAACCTTGTCTTTCAGGGCATAAGGCGAAGACTCCCGAGGTCGATGATTTCCCCGCGTGTCTCTGTGTACATAGGGAACTTAGTTCTGGGCCATGTACAGAAAATACCACTGTAATATACCCAAAGGAAGTTAATAATGTAGATTACCTTTTTAATTATTGCTATTTTTATTATTGTTTTCTCTTGTTGAAAGCACTGCAGTTGTTAGTTGTATGAGTGAGAAATGAGCCCAGTGGGTCAGTATGTAGAGACCCACTGTCTGTCTGTCTGGTAGAAGCGCACGGTGTACAATAGGACATTTTCAGAATGAATTTTTTCAGGGATTCATCTGCCAGTTTAAAAAAAATCCCACTTCGGCCCTCTGGTCCTTTAGGAAAACATGCAAATACTAAGGTCCAAACAAAACATTTGATCCCACTGATAAACCAAGACTGGCTCTGGATGGACAGCTACTCCACTTTGGGGATATGCTGCTTCAGAGGACACAGACGAGAGCTCTTGCATCAAAACTGGACTTCCTGAGGAGTGAGTTCTATTGAACTCTAGTTGGTGTTTATCCCCTTCTGTCTATAGCAGATGGGAATTTTCCATTTTAGATAGGGGGCTGTTTTTTTACCCCAGTTGTAATAAAGAGTGTTCTCTTTCCTCTTTAGAGTTTACAAAACTATAAATATTTGTGTCTGTACACACCATCTCCACCTGCCCACACCCACTGCCCTCCCCGCCCCGGTGGTGGCAGCAGCGTCACCAACAGGGTTTACTCTCCCCTGGAGAGGTTCTTCCAATGTGCTGTCCATAAATCATCCAGAACAGACACCCTTTCTTCCGCACAGAAAAGGGCTAACCATACCATAGCAGGAATCTCTGACTATTTCCTATTTAAAAACAAAACATTTTCTATTTGTAAATTATAATTTTTATTTGGGATAAAGATTTTATTCATTATACTAGCATATCTCTAGGCAGGGTAATCTTATCTCAATCTTTAACTTTTAAGTTGCTCCTTTAATCCCTTAAATAAAATTTGGGAAGGAAATCCAGATCTGAAGCGTCACCCTGAAGAGTGATGACTCTCTTGTAAGAAAAGAAACCCAAAGTGGGAGGCAGCGCGTTCCGTGTGCTGCCCCCATGCTCTCAGTAGATTCGTCAGTAATTACTGTCTCACCAGTTGTCATCTTGGCTTTAGTGTAGGACAGAAACAGTCGTGGAAGCTGATTGGTTTCCTTTTTTCCAAAGGTGTGAATTGTCATCTTGAATGCAACCCTGATTATCAGAAGCATAGAATGTTACATGTTAGCCATTATATATACAAATATATATATATACATATCTATTCACACATGTGTACATATAACCACACAAATAGAACTCGTTCATGCCTTCTGTGCTGTGAGGTATAATGTTAAAAGGGTGTTGAATCTCTTTAAGCAAGATCTAAGCAGTTGTTTCTATTGGCAGAGAACATTTATCAAGTTAATGCTCTATTAAATGATAAACTTTAAGGAAATTTTAAAAAAGGAAAAGAGGCGTGGGGGAAGAAAGACCGGAGGGAGCCCTGTGCAGGAGTGAGTATTTCTGCATAACAGAATATTTGGAAGGGAACAGGAGAATGTTTATCTATCGGGTCCTCTTTTGAGAAGCCTAGACAGCGGCCCTGAGTCCCTTTCGCAGCGCCCCCGCTTACGTTCTGACGCTTTAGCGCTGCCCTCTCTCGGGTGGGTCTTTGTGTTGGTCCTTGTATCTCAGCAGCCTCCCCAACCCCCGAACTTTTAAAGCATTTCCCTTCATAACACTCCCATTTCTGCCAGTCAGGATTTCAAGCAGGAGTTCGTCACAGTGCTTATCTGATCTGCAGACCTCATGCCCACATGTTTGGTACCCATGTATTTTCTTGATCTTTGATAGTTATTTTACAAATTCTTACCTCTCCTCTCCAAGCTGAAGGCACACTGTAGTCAAAATCACTTACTTAAATGGGGGTGGGGGTTAACCAATTCTGCAGTACTGCCCTTTGTGGGAGAGGATAATATAAACATAGGTCCACTGTTGCTCATCTCTAGCCAGGTTTAATTCTAATTCATTCTTCGTAAAAATCCGTCAACTGTGCTGCAGAAAACCTGGTAAAAGTATCGTTGGTGTCGAGGGCCTTACGTATGTAACGTGGGTGATGTCTTGCTTGAGGTTCGGAAGCTCTCAGGTGCCAGTTATGGATTACTGAGGCTGATAAGCTTACCTGTCCTGGGGGCCTAGACACAGAACATCAAATGTGTTTTTGGTGGATGCAATTTTTCTTGTTGGCATGTGGGAGCTCCTTAGAGCTGCCTCCTTTGGAAGATTAAATGCCCAAATGTTTGGATAGATTATGCAGCCCTCTATTATCAGGTTATCTCGAATGAAGAGAAGAGAATAAAAAATAATAAAGTTAGACATAAGCTAGAAGTTCAGAGTTGTTGCCAGATGTTAAATGTTAGATTATCCTTTGAGCCTGTTTCTATACAAATATTTTTCTGAGTTTTTCTTTAGAAAATGCTGCAATCTATAGAGCTTATTCTGAAATGTTTTTTTCTCAGGTGTGGAAGAAGGCAGCAACAGCTGACTTTTTATGGAGGTATAGCTTAGTTGGCTTTGCTCAGCCCCAATAGGTACCAGCCTCTGTGCTATTGGGAGGAGGGATATGGGGAAGAAGAAGGTGGACTCAGATGGCCGGGCCTTGCACTTCTACCCAGCACATCGCCACATTGTGTGTGCTGCAGAGACACAGATTGTGTGGAATTTGGAGGTCAGGGGGCATGCTTACTAAGTGCTTATCCCACTAACAACCAAACATGGCCGTTGACAAGAACAGTGCTGACAGGATTCAGGAAAAGAGCTTCAGATTCCCCTTTTATATCAATGGGCCAAAGGAGTTACATTTCCATCAAGTCATCATATTCCCTGAGTCTCTGCAATATAAGCCCTGACAGAGAGGATGTTGTAACTAGGCAACTGGAGCACCGTCTGTGTGCCGGGCTCTATCGCCAAGGTGCCGTTGGGGTCTGGGACAATCTTTTGGTAAGAAAGATGGCAAAATGAGGTAACCATGCTGCTGTAGCTTTTGGCTTTTTCCATTGTTATCAAGTTGGTCAGAATTAGCTTTTTCTGGGCTGCTTCCACCTTTCCCTGCGATGTTGTCAGACAGGGCAAGGAAAAGCAGGATTTTCTGTCATGACCACTGTGTGCCCTTGAGAATGAGCTTGACTCTAGAAGTCAGGCTTCTCACATCCTAGTCTACCTGTGGCCTTTGTTTGTGGATCTGCAGTTCTGTCCGCCCTGTCCCCGGAGGTACACCAGGTTGGGAGCAGTTCTGTTTTGGAAGCCCCAGAGCAAGACAGCTGCCATCAAGTGAGCTTGCATTGGTGTTTGTTTTCCTTCCATTAGGTTTAGCTCTAGTTATCTCCAGTTGGGAGTTCCTGGGAAGTCCGGTTGTGGGATTGAACTTGGGGAAGGAACCCTCTTCAGGATGACCACGTCCCATATGACTCTGAGCCCCAGGCTTACCACCAGACTGGACTTTGTCACTGGGCCTGACTCAGCAGCTCCGAAGCCTATGCCACAGCTTCGCTGACTTTTCAGCCACACCTTTGGAGGCCACCGTCTCCTGCAGACTGGAAGGGGCTTTCCTCTCCCGTCCCCTTCCTCTTTCAAGTCTAGCAGTGAAACCTCCTGTTTGCCCCAACAGTGAACAGTTGCCTTCCCACCCCTACCTGGGGGCCAAGAATTCGTTTTTATTGATATGTCAATTGGAAGGACCTATTTTACTAGTTGTTTTTTTATGTTGTTGTTTTTTAAAAAATATTTTTTTATTGACTTCAGAGAGAAAGGAAGAGGGAGAGGGAGATAGAATCATCAATGATGAGAGAAACTCATTGATTGGCTGCCTCCTGCATGCCCATACTGGGGATCGAGCCCGCAACTCAGGCATGTGCTCTTGACTGGAATCGAACCTGGGACCCTTCAGTCCACAGGCCAACACTCTATCCACTCGGCCAAACTAGCTAGCCCAGTTTTTGTTGTTGTTTTGTTTTTGTTTTTAAGTAAGATATACTGGGGTGTTGAATTTTTAAATAGAATCTCTTTCTGTGTTTGAGTGATTGCTATTAGTTCCAGAAGTATTCTCTTGTGGTCATGACCCAGTTATGGAGCTCTTGAGTTTAGGAAAGACAACAGTGATGAAATTTGCATGAGATAGGATAAATATCTCATGAGGAGTGAAAGAACCTGAGGAAGATAACATGATCCAAGAGGGGACTGTGCACAGCAGCCTTCTCAATAGCCCAGGCCTTGCCTGCACTTAAAATACATTGATATGTGGAGAGGCAGTTTCTGCAGACAACATGTGCACACCCACACAAAACACAAATCCTAGGGCTTCCTCTTTCTGAATGTTAATCCACCTACAGAGCAGTGATTCCCAAACTTCCTTGGGTTGTTTAGATTTTGTTCTCATTTGTTAGATTTTTCTGACAGTGGTTCTCTCTTTTTAAAAATGTACCATATGTGTTATATGTATATGTGTGTGTGTGTGTGTGTGTGTGTGTGTGTGTGTAAAAGTAACTTGAAATTTATTTGATTTGACATTGTCTCAAGAACCCTAGGTTTCGTTATTGATACCTCAGGGTGTCATAGAAAGACAGTTGAATCTCGCTGATCTGGATTCAGATCAGTGAAGATCAGTGGGATCCAGAAAGAAGCAGTTTTGGTTCCTGCTCAGTTAGTCCTCAGGTGTTTGCATAACTAACCCAGCTGGACTTGGCAAATGCAGTAAGCCACCCAAGGAAACCAAAATGGTAGTTTTTGCCCAAATTTCATCATTCATTTTAATTTCCTACTCCGTTCTTATTTTTCAATCAAATGTCCTCTTTTTCCCTAGGGAATTTTTTAGTTCGGGACCTAGAACCAGATGTACCTGCTGTAGAGAGATTAACACAGAAGCTGTGTTTTAGGAGCCTCCATCATCTGTGTGGGGCTACACATTTGTGTATAAATAGCATATCTGTGTCGTTTCTAAACTCCCAAGGGAAACATTTCAATTGCCAGTTCACCAAAAGGTTAAATGCTCATTGAATCAATGACCACTGTCCTGCAGAGAAGTTGAAATAAATAGTAAAGCTTAAGTTTTGACTGGTGCTTAGACATTTCCTAGTTACGTTAAAATTAACTCAAGCAGACAGCAGCACATTAACCTGAATCACACCTGTGAGGAATTTACCTTTTAAATTGGCTTTTCTTTTTTCATCTCCAGGGCCTTAATAAAAGTGTGTTAATACACATGACTATTTTACAATGATAGCGCTAAATAATTTATTTTTTATTTCAAGAAAGAGAAATACACCTTAGAAAAACAAAACCCAAGATTTTATTTTATTTTTAAAGCCATATTTTTGTGCTGGTAGCACTTAGATTGTTCCACATGTGAGATCCATATCTGCATTTCATTACCTGGGTTTGTTCTAAAGAAGATTTATTTTTGTTCTGTGAATAATTTTTGATGGTTCTTGTACATGTACAGATATAGATACGTTTGAGGTCTTTTATTGATAATCTTACAAAGAATTCAAATAAACTTTAACTTTAAACATTTCAGACTAAAGTTGCTATGGTATGTGACATGTTACTCTCTTATTTCTTGCATGTATATCTGGGTGATTAGGACACTTGGAGAAAGACCAGGAAAAAAAATGTATGCAGGAACATTATTCTGAAGGTATATTTTAACATTAAAAACAATGTCATAGAATTTCCCAACTTACAGGTAAGAAATATTTAGATTTAGGGCAAATAGCATGAACATACAGTATGGTTTTGTGATAAGACCCCAGAGAGCTCCTCATTCTGGAGAATTTAAAATCCCTTTAATAGATTGTCACTGGTAAAGAAAGCAGCCCCTGTATTTGGAACTATGGCCCCACTTGGCTTCCCAAACCACTACTGTCCTCTCTTAGTTTCCCAGAGAGATTAATGGGGTTTGTTTCAGGATTTGGGTGTTTTTTTGTTTTGATGGGGTTTGTTTCAGGATTTGGGTGTTTTTTTGTTTTTATTTATTTATTTTATTTTATTTTTGGTTCTTGTTTGCTTGTCATTCTCAAAGTTATTGTTCCCAAATACCTCCACCTTCCCTCGTTTCATACCAGTTGCATATGTCATTTTCTTTTGTGCTGGTGGAGGTCTGAGTTCCACAGTTAGCCTCTTCACATATGTGGAGTTATTTCTCATTCTGAGCTTCTTGGAATTAAAAAGTGAAAATGCTCTTAAAACCCAGAGAAGACTGTGTGAGAAGGAAACTGCATGAGCTATTTTTTGTTTACTTCAAAGCCAACCCATTTCAATCTGAATTGCTCATCACCTAACGTTTGCTTTAAGACTTCATGGATCTGAAACATCAAAAGGAGAAAAACTGTTAATACTGTCTTGTCATCTATATCCTAAACTGTCCACCTATATACCCTTCATTTTTCTCAGCCTCTCTCCAGCTGCCTGCCTTTTGTTATTAGCACTGTCACCAATGGGAAGGCACATAAATCAGTCTGTTAGGCCCTTTCCAACACCCCAGCCAACAAAAAGAAAGTTTGATGGCAAAGGAGGCTAAAACAAATGACTTAAATCAGTGCTTCTCAACCGGGACTGTTCATCAGAATCACTGCAGAACTTAAAAACAAACAAACAACAACAAACACAGCAGGGCTGCCTTTGAGTTCCTCCACTGAACAATTCCATAGACTGTCTCTGAGGACTGGGGCCACGCTTTTCTTTAACTTGCCCAGGGATTCTAACCTCAGCAGGGTTAACAACCACTAGTCCCTATCAAGCTCTGAGCACAATGTGTGTCTGTGACAATGTTTCTCTCTGTCTCTGTCCCTGGAACTGGGATAAGTCGGCTACAGGTGTTTGTCTTCTATGTGGAATTTTAAAATGCTGCTAAAACTAATGATATATATTCTACCTTTCTCACACACACCTTGTCCCTACCAATTCCATCCTTTAAATCTGCGAGATAGACATTCTCTCCACTAATATGGGATAGATATATTCCAACAAAGGTGGCCAGAAGATGTAATTCTCCATTTGGACCCCAATCTTCCTATTATTGGCTTTAATGTAAGACAGAAGGTAGATTGCTTCTGGTTTGGTCTCCCTACCCTCACCCCAAACACACCCCCACCCCCCAAAAAATCCTTGACATTTATAGAGCTGATATTCAACACTGCAGTCTTCAGTTACTTGGACTTTTACAAAAAAAAAAAGTATCAGATGCTGAAATTGCATCTTTTATAGCTGTTCTTTCTTCAATAGAAAAATGCACTAAAAGCTCACCAGTCCCCCTCCCCGTTCCCTGGCAGACATACACACACACACACACCACAGTTCTTTCTAGAAACCTGAGTTTGCGAGGTTTTAGAATAAATTGCCTAGGTGTTCTTTCTTTGGCCTGTGAGTAAATTGCAATAATCTACAAGATACATAGTTATGGTTTGGGCTGGATGACCCATAATGAGCTCTCTGGCTCTGACATTATATGATTATCTGATATAACCGAAATATGTGCCCTTAGGCCATATTCGAAATCAACTTGAGGCTTTTGTCACAATATTTAGGAATAATTCTTCCTCTTGACAATCTGCCATCTCTCACATACTAGTACTTTAAAAGAACAAGGAGAAAAAACTGGAAGAAATGTATATTTAGAACAATAATAATGTTGATAATAATAATAGCTAAAGTTTATGTTTATTGAGCACTTACTATGTACCAATTGGCTAAGCACTTGGAATATTTCATTTAATCTAATACCAACCATATGAGTTAGGTACTGTTGTTCCTAACTTATGAGGAGACTGAGACTCAGAAAAATTAAGTTACTTGCCCAAGGTCACCACAATTAATAAGTGGAAAGCCACGACCCAAATTCAGGTCCTTCTAACCTTCTGCCTTAATGTGTGTGTGTGTGTGTGTGTGTGTGTGTGTATTAATCCTCACCCGAGGATTTTTAAGAGAGGGAGAGACAGAGAGAAATATTGATGTGACAGAGACCCATAAATTGGTTGCCTCTGCATGCACCCCAACCAGGGCCTGGGATTGAGCCTGCAACCGAGGTATATGCCTTTGACTGGAATTATATGGGGACCCTTCAGTCCAAAGGCTCTATCCACTGAGCCAAACCCACTAGAGCTTTCTTTCTTTCTTCCTCTTTCTCTTTCTTTCTAGAGTTCAGGAAAGTTTTTGGCAAAAGTTACAAAAGGATCTAAAAAGATCTCGGAACACGAGCCAACCTGTCACCATGAGCCAAAGTGATAATAATGGGAACAGATGAGCGAATTTTCCAAAGCTTTCTCTCTCCCTCTATTGGTTTTGACAGTATTGCCTTGCATTGTCAAGTCATCTGGTCAAAATTAGAAGTGGGCAGAAATCTCACCTCACTCAAAAATTGGTCTTTCATATCTTCTGGGTCCATCTCAGCTGGGATGGTAAAATCTGCTTTCAGGATTCCAAAGAATTGCTCTGAAAAAGAAAGGGCTACCTGGTTCAGGGGAAATTATCTTACTGCCATTTGAAAACTTCAAGTTCTTAGCAGTCAGGCGTGCACACTGGACACCACAGATGGTGCATGGTGATTTAGGGTTTCAAAAAGGGAGAGGAAAGAAACTACTGAACTGGAGAATGCTTGGCCACAATTACGACCAACCAACAGTGGCTGAAAGAGGCCTATGTCGTAGGGTGACACTGGCCCTCCTCACACATCAGGCAGTTATTTTCTGTTCTCTATTTCCCACCTTCCTCTTAATAACTCTATTAAATAGATGCTGGAAATATACACCCCTACAC